AAGATAAAATAACCTTTCCCAGACTCTCCTTCAGCTAGTGTTCTGGGGGTGATATAATCCCAGCAAGCAGGTGTACCTGCAAGAAACTTGTTTTGAAACTGAATTAATTGGAGAGAGGCATCAGACTATGAGGCCTCCAGCTTGCTGGTGCCGATCTGGGAGATGACTTTACTCTGCATGCAGCAGTTCTCCTGGCAGCTCCTTCATCTCAGATCACAGCTAAGGTGTGTAACCCTGGACCTGGCGCTGGGCTGGCCCATTAGCCTTCTGACTTCTCAGCTTCCTGATAGTGGCCAGTGTTGCCAATCCCTTGTGCCAGTTCTGCAGTGTTGTTTGAAGTCATTTTTGGAGGCCCTACCTAAAATGTGCTTTTCCAGATCTTTCAACAGTTCTGCAAGTACTTCTTCCATTCCTTTTCTCACTAAAATAATGAGAGAGCTTTCTATTTTCTGCATATGAACCCTGAACTGATACAGAAAGATAGAATTAAGGGCAAACGTGGATGGTGAAAAAGGACAAACAGCAAAAGGGCAACTATTTCTCAAATACAGAAAAGAAAAAAAGATGGACACAGATGCTGATATTTTAAGATAGACAGGAGAGACCATGCAGGAACTTAGATAAATTGTATGAGGTCACTGTCTGCTAAGAATAAAGGAGGAAAGGCAGAGGGGAACTAAAACTTGTGGACAATGAAGGAAGTTCAGAAAAACCATTGTAAAGTACATACTAAGAACTCAATATGAAAGAACTAAAAGCTTTGTGAAGAACTTAGAAGGAATAAAGTGAAATGATGATCAAAAACCTGTACTGTTGTCCAGACAAACATTCTAAAAGGAGAATAGATAATTCCTAAAATGAAGTGAGGCTTTTCTCCATTAGCACATTGATAAATATAAAAAACTGAACAAGAAATTCAATTATACAAATTGTCTACATAGTGAAAATAATTCTTACACTGTATATTCAGGTCAGGTCATGGATGCAAATACAAGTAGACACTAGAATTTTTCGGTTATTCTATACTGAATTCCTCAATTCAAGCTCAATAATCTGTTCTCAGGTTGACTTTTGAAGACTATGAATTTTCTGCTCTGGTTACTAATATACTTCCAGATACTGGGCAAAAAGTTTTCCTTTTTCTAGGATGATTCTCTTTATCCTTAGGGACCAAGTTGCCATAAAAGTAAAAAGCTTTCCTGGTAGCAACTTTGGAAGGATTCCCAGAGTAAATAACTCTCTTTGACAGGAATGAAGGCCCTAATCCATGGGGCTGCATACTTAAGAATCTGCATACCAGTGTGATTCCACAGGCAGAAACGATGCCACAGTATAACTGCTATGAGCCGTTACAAAGCAGCCACCATGATGCTAGAAAACCAACAAGTACAAATATGGAATGGTATTCTCTGCTCTTCTTTCCTTCCTAAGAATGTAAACATCCCAGCTCTTTCAGAAAAACACTGATGGACCAGAGCCTATGTAGGACATGTCCCTGTCTGCTCTTTTGTTGGATTAAATTGTGAAAGACTGTCCAGAGGCTTTGAACTACAGGCAGATTCTTTTTATAAATATTTACACAGAATATGAAAGAAAAACTTTTTAAAGACCTCATTAAAAAAAGCACATGTGAAACCTTAAAGATTAGATAAGTAAGTAGCCAGTATAATCAGGATTACTCAGAAAAGAGAGCAGAACTAGAACTCACTTTTGTTTGGGTTTCTCAAATCTCTGGTTATATTTATTAACTGCACACCCAACTATTAACCAAATGATTACTATGCTGTAATACCTCCTCTATTAAGAATTTAGCTATCTAAAAAGTCTATAAGTAAGCTCAACTCAGTCTTTTGAGTGGTCAAAATATAGTAAAAAATAAAGTTCACGAAAATTTCTGTACATCACTGTGTCTGGAATCCTTTTTCAGTCTCTTTGCCCAATTTTGTACAATTCTAATAAGCTTCTTTAATTTGGTTTACAAAAATAAGAAATGGAGAAACAAACATGCACACTGTGTAAAGGAGGATGTTACAGTTAATACAGCTGTATTAAGCAAGGAAGTAAAAGCCAACATTTAAAAACTCATGAAAACCTTAAAAAAAAAAGAATACTGGCATCATTTAATGGAAGTGTAAAAAACTCTCACATGCTCAATGGAACTTAGTGCCTCTACTGTATTTGAGTAAAATAATAGGCATCAATAATAATGATCACAAGTCATTTAAAATGTTTAAATCATCTTAGTAGATGGATTAGATGCAGTTTAACATGTGACACCTTTAGAAAGATTACCATTCCAAACAGCTAAAATAGAAGTTTTGCTATTTAAAGGTAGAACTAAATTTGAGGCATTGCCACATTAATGAAGTGAGGGAAGTAGATTAAAATTCATAATCTGAGGTCCTAAATACTTTGCTTCTATTGGTGTGTTTACTGAAATGGTTTCATTTCAGACACTGAATATGTCTCATGTACCCAGAAAATGTACCTGTTTTTCTATAGCTCTAGACATGCTGGTACAGGGGCAGGAATGTTAATCAAGGACTATGCCCTTTCTGGGAAGGGCTGATTTAAGTGATCTCCAAAGTTTTAGTTAACTGGAATTTCCTTTAGTCCATCATCAGTGTATAAGAGTGTGTGATCTAAAGCAGCAATTCTCAAATGTCTCAAATGGTCTTAGGACCCACTAACACTCTCAAAAATAATTGAGGGCTTTTTGTTCTTGTGGGTTCTATTGGCATTTACCATGTCAGAAATAAAAAGTAAGACATTTAAAATTTCTGTTTTTTTAATTAATTTTAAAATAAAATAACAATATGTTGACACAAATGTTTTATGAAAAATAACCATGTTTTCTAACACTAAGATAATTTAATGAAAACAGTAACGTGGTTTTCCATTTCTGTAAATCTCTGTAATGTCTGAGCTTAATAGAAGACAGCTGAATTCTCATATGTGCTTCTGTATTCATTCTGTTGTGTTACATTGCGTTGACTGAAATAGAAGAAGACCTAGCCTCACACAGATACATAGTTAGAAAAGCTAGGAGTATTTTAATAACCTTTTCAGATAATTTTGAATATTCTTTGATACTACATCGAATTCAGTAAGTGACAATTTCTAAAGCTGCAATGTGGAATCTGAAACCATAGCCATGAACTTTTCATACTTCCATTAGTTTATTTTGTACTTTGGATGGATCTTTCACATATGCATGATTCTGTTTCATCACACACTAGTCATTTGAAAAATATTGATTCACTGAGTTAGCTGATCTTCCAAATGTTGACATATTTCATCATACAATAGACAAAATCACATTCCTTAATGTCATCAATGATCTCATCAGACCAGCGTTTTTAAGTACTGAGATGCTGTCAAATTCACAGTGGCAGGTGCATTCTTTTTTCTTCCCCCTTATATATTTTTATTTTTTATTTACATTGTTGTATTAACTTCTGGTATACAGCATAGTGATTCAGTTATACATATATATATATATCTACATATATCTATACACACACACACATATATATGTATATATACACATACATATTCTTTTTCATTACAGGTTACTACAAGCCATTGAATATAGTTCCCTGTGCTATACAGTAGCAAATAGTTGTTTCTCTTTTCTGTACATGATAGTTTGTATCTGTTAATCCCAAACTCCCAATTTATCCTTCCCCCTCGGTAACCGTAAGTTTGTTTTCTATGTCTATGAGTCTTTCTATTTTGTAAATAAGTTCGTTTGTGTCATTTTTTTAGATTTCACATATAAGTGATATATTATGTTTGTTTTTCTCTGACTGACTTATTTCACTTAGTATGATAATCTTTAGGTCCATCTATATTGTTGCAAATGACATTATTTCACTCCTTTTTAGGTCTGAGCAGTGTGCCACATACATACCATGTTTCCTTTATTCATTCATCTTTCAGTGGACATTAAAGTTGCTTCTGTGTCTTGGCTATTGTAAATAGTGCTGCTATGAACATTGGGATGCATGCGTCTTTTCAGATTAGAGTTCTCTCCAGAATATATGCCCAGGAGTGGGATTGCTGGATCATATGATAACTCTAGTTTTTAAAAGAACCTCCATACTGTTCTCCATAGTGGCTGCACCAGTTTACATTCCCACCAGTAGTGTAGGAGGGTTCCTTTTTCTCCACACCGTCTCCAGCATGTATTATTTGTAGACTTTTTGACAATGGTCCTTCTGACCAATGTGAGGTAATACCTTATTGTAGTTTTGATTTGCATTTCTCAAATAATTGATGTTAAACATCTTTTCATGTGCTGTTGGCCATCTGTATGTCTTCATTGGAGAAATGTCTATTTAGAGCTTCTGCCCATTTTTTGATTGAGTTGGGTTTTTTTTTTAGTATTGAGCTGTGTGAGCTGCTTGTATGTTTTGGAAATTAATCCCTTGTCAGTTGCATCATTTGCAAATATTTTCTCCCATTCCATAGGTTGTATTTTTGTTTTGTTTATGGTTTCCTTTTCTGTGCAAAGGATTTTAAGTTTAATTAGGCCCCCTGTTTATTTTTGTTTTTATTTCCATTACTCTTGAACATGAATCCAAAAATATATTGCTGTGATTTATATCACAGAGTTTTCTGCCTATGTTGACACATTTCACCATACAGTATATAAAATCACACTCTTTAGTATCATCAATGATCTCATCAAAGAAGTCTATAAGTATTGAGATGCTGTCAAATTCATGATTGCAGGTGCAACTTTCTAATTTTCTCATGAAAGCTCAGACTGTCTGTTGTTTTCCTTGAAGTGACAGGCTCAGGCTCACTTTGCTCGTTTTCTAGAAGATGTCTGCTAAATACCCAAGTCTGAATAACCATAGTTTGTCTGTCAGTCATTCTTTAAAGTAAAAATGTTCCATGAAGAAAAATGACTAACTGAGCTTGGAATTCAAAAAACTGTACAAGTGATTGCTCAAGACAAAGTGCTTTACATGTATGTTCATTTTGTCTTGCAGAATATTAGAAAAATGCATACTCGAGATTTAATAAAATGCAAACTTTTACTGCTTCATCAAGGACATCCTTACTTGAAACCAGCATCTTGTTTGTTAAGTCAAATGGTGACAGTGAGGAATACGACTCCTAGTACAGGTATGTATCACTGCCTCAAATGCTAAGGTGTCATCCATCTTACACCATCAGTGCAAACTGCAACACAGTGAACAAGACAATGTCTTAGTACTGTTATGAAAACCATTTTGACCTCACAGATCTCCTGAAAGCATATCAGAGACCTCTGGAGGTCTGCAGACCACACTTTGAGAACTACTCATCTAAAGGGTATGTGATAAGCATCCTTGGCCTCTTGGGTATCTGCGTTTGAGAAGAGGAAATTCAATCAAAGGCAATGCAAAGGCAAACAGAAGTAAGGTCCAACTTGGGGAAGAAAGGCAGACAGAAGCCAGGAAGGGATGATTTTAAGAGCTGTGGGCTGAGAGATCACGCCTGAAATCAACCATGAATTCAGACTAAATGGAGAGGCGAACAGTCCGTTGTCTGTAGAGAGAAGGACAAAGGGAAGAAGAAAATCTTCACTGGGCTGGAATGTCAAGGGTGTTTTTAAAATAGCTCCCATTCAGTTTTCAAACTACTAGCTAGTTGAAATTCATTGAGAGCTGTGACTGCAATATGAAGATCTTTCTGTCTTTTACAACCCGTTGTATGCCTTGCACGTACAGGCATGCAATAAATATGTGCTGAATAAATGTCAATATGAGGAAATTGAATTTTACCTAAATGTCCATCTCAACTTCCCTCAGTACCAGTCATTCCAAAGCCTACCACTTTCTACTTATTCTTTCTTTGTTGTCTCTTTTAGGTTTGAGATTACTACAAAAGTATCATGTGATCAATGAGAAATTTCCAGTGTATTTGTGGAAAAGAATAAGTCCTCTTGAATGTTGGACATCAGAGATAACCTGAGTTTTCCCCAGCAAAGGGGATGGCCACACCGTGACTCAATAAGCAACTCTGCAGCTGCTCCTGCCAATCACTCCATTTCGCCATCATTCTCCCGGCCCCGTGAGAGGTAAGGTCACAAGGCAACCAGTAAAACATGAAACTTGACTAAATGTGGGCTTGGCTGCAATTTATGGAGATAAGCACATGAGCAGAAGCAGTGCAAGGTGCCGGGGCGGAGGCACTGCCGCAGGTGCTGCTGCAGTTCCTTCCCGTGTGCTCTGCCCGCCTTGGCAGGCCCACGGGGCTGAGTTAGGCTGTGACAGTGTATCTCCAAGTCCCATACTTCAAGAAGGGAAATCAGGGTCATGCCAAGTGTCCTCTCTGCCCAAGTAAGTGTTCTGTTGATGCGTTTTAAAACCAGTCATGCTCCCTGCTGGGGCTGACGAATACTTCTCCTATTTATTTCTGATTGAGGAGAGCCTACATGAATGTCATCATCTTGCCAAAAAATTCTGGGCCAGCGCCAGCCAAGGAGAGCCTTGCAGAGGCAGGCAAGAACCCTCAGCTACTCTCTCTTCCCACCTAGCTGGAGGTCTGTGTTGAATTTACAAAGGAAATAGAGTTGGAGCTTGAGGCTTTCCTTGGGTTATGTTATTTCATTAATTAGTTAGGTGATTTTCCTGCATATTCACTGACTGTCTTTCATGTGACCTACGGCATTCTGCGGTCCAAAGTACTGCCCTCAAGACGTTTATATTCTAAGATAGATAAGTATGTAGTTAAGTATAACCCAAGGTGATAACTGCTATGATTAACGTTAACACAGCAGGCAGTGGGAGCACACAGCAGGGTCATACCACCAAGGATTATCGGAGGAGGTAAGTTTTCTAAAGGACAAATAAATGTCAGCCTGATGAGGAGAAATGACGGGGAATCAGGGCGCAAGGGCCTAAGAACCTACACACAGTGAACGCTCAGTCAGTGCTTGTTGGATGAACTAGCTTTTCACAACACAGCGCTGCCTCCCACAAATACTACAGTAGCTCACAGAGTGCTTCAAAACAAATGCCAGTTAGCTCACCTACAAAACCGCTAGAGAAATCCCATCTTTGCTCTTCAAAGTGAGGGTCACAGATACACAGCATTGGAACCACATGGGGACTTGTTAGAACCGCAGAATCCCAGCCCTGACCCAGATGAACCAGCACCTGCATTTTGAGATCCCCTGGGAATTCATATACACATAAGGGTTCAAGGCTGAGCTGTACTAAAGGCTCATCATGCAGTGATGACCTTGTAGGACGGTGGTTTGTAACCTTTGGGAAGGTTTTAAGACTCTCTGGAGAGGACTTCCAAAATGCAGAAACCCAGTTTCTACTCCCCTTTCTTCCACAAAAAAACAAATCTTAGGGGCTGGGACATGTGTATCTGCATTTTTAACGAACTCCCCATGGGACCCTGAGACCTGTTCTTTGACACAACCTGGCATTATTTTCTACAGATTACTTTAAGGAAATATGTTGGGGCCAACCATTTCTCTGTGTGTGTGTGTGTCTGTGTGTCTGTGTGTGTGTATGTGTGTGTGATGAAAAGGCAGATCTTTACTGAGTGACTTTCTTCCAAGCAACCATATTATTAACTCTTTAGAGCTTCAAATAACCATACTTATTAGGAAGACTAGAAGATGAGTTTATGATAATTATTTTAATTTTTTTCATGTCCTTTTATTTTAACTATATAGTTTTTGTGGTTCTGAAAACAAAGATATTCCAAAGCCAAGACTTCCTGGATTAGAAGTGGTGAACATAATGTAAGCTAAAGTGCTGCTAACACCTGCTTATGGGGAAAAATTATAAGCCAGATTTTATCCCCAAGCAGGCAAATAACTAACTCTTCAAAAATATTTTGTGTAGCTTCCAGTCATATAAAAACTTCAGGTACCATTTGACAGTATTTGTGCTAAATGTACAATGCAAATATAACAACACATTCAAATTTTGATTTACTTTAGCTATAATTTTTATTCCCTAGCTGGTCATAAATTTTAACATGATGAAGACAAGGGATTTCCAATTGTTCTTGATTTTCATTTGAAATCAAATATGATGAAATTTCCATTTCCCCTCTATTATTACATAAGCCTGAAGCAAAGAAATGGAATTACCAAGTCTTGTTTTATAGGAAAAATTATCTCCACATTAATTAAATTAGTTGAGCATAATATGGCATCTTCTACTATTTGAAGGAAGTAGAATAGTCAAATGGCAGATAAATATATTTAAGTATTTTAATGGGTTAAAGTTCAGTACAAAAACATTTGGTGTAACTCAAGCAAACTACACAGCAGCCTGTATAAATTATGCTTTTAAAGGGAAAAAAAACATTAATTTCTTGAGATGAGGACTTTACTGATTTTACAAATTGTTTGTAAAAGAAAATGTAAGCAATATTGAATCTCCTCCTCTTCCCATTAAACAATTTGGATTTGAATGAAAATACAAAATCACCACTTTTTTCCAAAGAAATGGTTCAGCACAACATCTCTGTTACTGTTTGATCACATTTGTATTTGCTAAGACATGCTTTCATTTGGATTTGCTTCAGAGAGAAATAAAAAGCCTTAGTTTTGAAGTCATTCAGCCATTCACCAAGTGTCTCCAGGAGCAGGTCTTGTTCTGGGCTTGCCTTCCCCAAACTAGCCCCGAGACCAGGAAGAACTTGGCAAGTGAGCCTCCACCTTAAAAGGTTGGTTATGTGGCATGCCCTGATAAACAGAGAACCACCAGGACCCAGAGTGAGAGAGGCACTAAACCCATGATGACTGATCTAATCCAACAACAAATTATGTATTAAGCATGTAGTATGTGCAAGGTGCTGAACTCTGAAAAAATATGAAGATGTTTATGGTAGAGTTCTTAAATAGAGCTCAAGAAGTGGAAAGCTGTTGCATTGTCTGCTGCAAAATTTAGTCTCCCATTTCTGAGTTTCATTTATTTGTCTCTCCTTCCTCTCCCCTCTTTCTTTCCCTCTCCTCCATTCTCTTCCCTCTCTTCCTTCCTCCTCTCACTCTTCCTCCTTCTCTCTCTCTCTCATAATGATATCTCCTACAAATTCTCCATGGGCTACAATTATAGTTGATGGACTAAATCTACTTGTCATTAATAAGGATGTGGAAAGAAGTTTCTTGTGCTTGAGTCTACATCTAAGATCCATTCCCACAGATTCCTTTATTAACACACTTACACTTGACAAGTTGATATTCCTTGAAACAAAATACGCACAGCAAAAGTCTGAGATGATGTTGTTAGCATCATCTATATATAGTGTCACCTTAAAAGTACATAAGCTAGATGTTCTGTCTGTACCCCAAAATCAGTGTTAAAAAATTGAAATCCAGATTAAAATAGGAAGCTATGACTAGAGGAAATATGAACTGACACTCCTGCATTAAGAGCTAAGATAGAAGCATGAAGAAGATCCAGGCCATGGGTAGCCTGATGCTGGTGATCAGTACAGTATTGTGCTGTGCTTCAAAATCCAAACTGAATTATGGATTTGGTTCTGAGTAGTGCAACTGTTTGCTAATAAAATGATAAACATAACATTATGAAATCTAGATTTTGGCTTATGCCGTAATAAGGCTTTAGATACAAACCTAAGTACTTTATTCAGTCTCTATTGTTCAATAATTTAAAACCAAGTTCTTGGTAAAAATGGTATTACTTTCTGTTTTTTTAATATTTTATTATGACTTTTCTCCCTATACCCTCCATTTTTAAAAATGTTACTAGTAAAATAGAAGTGTGCCTTCTCATATACTTTTGGGTTTTTGGTTTGTTTTAGGAGTTTTCTGGCTTCTCCTTATCTCCTTTCATGTGTGTGTGTGTGTGTGTGTGTAGAGAGAAATATCTAGAAGGGGACCGACAATACACCATCTTCCTATGTGGTACAAAAAGCCAAATGCATTTCCTAATGTAATGTCCATTACCCTTAGAAGCCCACAGATGAAATATTTTTAAAAACCCAGTAAAATAGTGAAGCAACATGGCAAGACACTAGGGGATCAAAAGAAACATGAAATAATCCAGGTGGCCACAAAATTGTTATAAGCATACAATAGAGAAAAGCTTGGTTGATAATAAATGTAGATTGAAAGACAAATAGTAATTAGGGAGACAGTGTGTGTTGCAATATGCTGCCTACAGCAGATTACCCTAGCTCTCACAGCTAAACGGGAAAGCTATTAACATAACAGAGCAGTTGCTACCAGATGTATCTGTTATAAAAATAAAATATTACAAGGATTATAAAGAAAATTACAAATTAACAGCAATCATGTTTTGGGGATTACCTAAAATTCAATTCTTTATTTTATATACAGATACTAGTGATGCTCACTAGGTCTCAATTTATTAATTTCTCCTTTAATATTGACATTTTTTGATGGAATAAGTACCTCAAATTGTGAAGCTGTCATATTTTTTCCCAATATGCATTCTTTTATTTTCCTTGTAAGACTGCCTAAGAATTTGGCAGTCACATGATTTCTTTCAGTAAACCCCAAGGCTCCCATGAACATTCCTAGAGCTTAGAGCCAAAGAAGTAGTCCTGGAATTTCAGATATTAAAGCTTTCTTCAGAGACAGAAGTTTTTGTGATATTTGGGTGATAAAACACAAATTTGGTGGATCATTTGTATTCTAGTTAAGGGACCTTAGTCTGCTCCTAAGAATGTTGTGCTTTCTTTTTGATGAACACTCTGATTCCTTCTTGAGCAACTTCTTCATCAGAATCTTTTTTTGTCTTCATATAATGTAACGTATTTGAAAAGGCAAATGGTTAGGCTGTCAACTGTCACACCTTCATGTTCAGTCTTCACTTTAAGTTTTGAATTCTTTACCACTGACAGTGTCAGGGTGAGTGTGGCTTGAGGGAGTTGCTGTGCTGCCTCCCCTTCCCCTCAGCTCAGAGCCTCCTCTTGCTAAAGAAGCTGACATCTTTGCCTTTCTAGAGCCCCAGGGCCTCTGGCCAAAGGCACAGACACCCTTTCCCTCCACAGACAGAGTGAGCCAGGTCGCTATTTTTGTTTGTTTGTTTGTTTGTTTGTTTGTTTGCTATCAAACAATTT